ACTGCACACTCTGTCAGGTACAGCAACACCTTGAAGATAAAGCTCTTTATGCTAAATACAGTGTAGCTGATCCAGGTGGAAAATTATAAGGCACATACAGTTGGTTTTAAACACACATATTCTAAGTAAGATATAAATCACTTCGGTCTCTCTCTGTTTTCCCTAAAGCAGAGACATGGACTGCTGACCTCAACCCCAGCACTGCACACTCTGTCAGGTACAGCAACACCTTGAAGATAAAGCTCTTTATGCTAAATACAGTGTAGCTGATCCAGGTGGAAAATTATAAGGCACATACAGTTGGTTTTAAACACACATATTCTAAGTATTGTTACAAATCCTGCTATTCTGGATGGCCCAAAGGACAAGAGGGAAGAAAGGTCATGAAATGCAGAAAAAGATAGGAGAATGCAGGGAAAAAACATACAGAAACCAAGGAATAAACCAGAACAGAACACATTGATCCAATGTACACAACAACAGCAATGATCAACTCTTCTCATTTCTTTGGCCAACAAGCAGTGACAATTGCAAAGCATCCTTTGTTTTGCACTGTAATACCTGACTTTATTTAGATACACAGATGTTTAGCACTGGATTGCCACAATACCTGAAATAAGTAGATAAAAAAAACCCAAACAGGCTGTTTTTCTTCTATGTTTTTAACAAAACAAAGCTGCCAAGTAATTGTTGTGGGAAAAATTATGAGAGAAATAATAGGTAGCTACAAAAATAATGTGCTAGAACATCTGAGAAGAGACTAGTAGTTAAGGAACATATGAAACCAAATGGCAACAGTTCTAGGCATTTATTCCAACATCTTAGAAAATAAAAAATATTCTTCATTGCATCACCATTTCAAGATAGAAAAAAACCCCAAATTTTTTAACTTAAGCCAAAAGAAGATGTGAATTGTTTCCTTGTTTTTTTTCCATTCGAAGCCTTGTTTATTCACAGTACAAACAGATCCTGCTGGTACAGTGTAAATCACACGATGCACAAAGTCTGACAAGGAGCACTGATCCCTTCTCTCCTCTGGAAAGCTGCTCTGCCCTACAAAAAAACTCCAACCCTCCCCCCCAAAAAAACCCAAACCAAACCAAACCCCACTTTTCAGTGCCTTACTGAGCTGCAGAAGAGCCCCAGAGCGTGGCCAGGAGCACGAGGTTCCGAGCACGCAGCCCCCACACTCAGCCAGGACAAAGAACATTCCATGGTTAGTTGAACTCCACCTTAAGGCAAATAGATATTTAGTTTTCTACCTCTTCCTAAAAAAAAAAAAGTTTCACTTTTTAAATGTCAAACATGAACCTGAAATTCAGGAAACGAACGAACATTTGGCATAAGGAATGCTTTAACCAAAACGAAGAAATGAACAGGAAATGCTTTTCCCAACAATAAATCAATTCTTTTCTCTTAATTCTAATTGTTAAAGCATTTTATGCATTTCCAATAACAAATTCCAAGGGTTGTTTTTTTGGTTTTTTTTTTTTTTTTGGCAACTTTTTTCTTTTTTAATAAAAATTCAGACAGTGTTCTCTGTTTGCAATCAGAACCACAACCTTAGTGCAATATTATATTTATTTCTTACAGTAATTTTGGTTGCCATACAAGAGTATTAAGGATTGGGGAAAAGTGCAAGTTACAGGAGCTTGATTTTTTTAATCAGTCGAAATAAGAGGAATTAAAGCACAAAAATTACAGCAACATAGATAACGTGAACACAAGTTGTTACACAAACTATAGCGAGAAACATATTAATATCTAGAAAAGAAAAGAAAAAATGTAATGGAAAAATTATCAATATTTGTGGCTCATACACATAATCATCGCCAGATCAACTGGGTAATGCTTTTTAAGAACTGAGAGAGAAAAAAAAAAGAAAGAAAATCACTATTTTTTATTAACTTAAGTACCACAAATAATTAACTCTTTGTGATATGTAAATTCTGTAAATCAACAGTCACATCTAGTCATTTTATAATATATGAATTAAACTTAAAATGTTCTCAGACACCTAGGGCAAGGAGTCTGTGCAGTTATACACAATTTACATCTTGTAAGATTTTGGTATTGTATACACAAATATTACAGAAACTAGGCATGTAAATGCAATTTATTTAAATTACAGTATATAAACAAAAGTTGATCCTAAAACCCAGAATATCATAATTCATAGATCTCTAACGACTTGTTTTTCACTATCAGAGTAGCATGAAATAAATGGGTCTTCTCTCCTCCCCCCAACATTTCCAGAGTGCTGGAAATGCTCGGAGGCAACGGCGTAATCTGTTACTATTGCTTTCTGTAGCCAAACCATCCCACAGAGCTAGAGACCAATTCATCTTGGCAGAGGTGTATTTTAGGGGTGAAAGTAGGTCCTCTCAGGTCTCCTCACCTTTACTTTGTAAGACACAACGTAAAAAAGAAACTATTTCATTAGCTCTTCAACATGTTCAACCTCTTTTCTACTCCTTGGATTGTACCTACTCTTCCAGTCCCTGAAAAGATGCACAAGAAACAACACCTGTGTAAGAAAGGGATGACTGTCAACTGGAATTTACTGTGTATGTCAGCACTTGTTCAACGTAAATTCAACAAGAAGGTTGTGATTCAAAAGCAGCTTAAAAGTCAACTTCTACATTTTCTTTTACTACCATAGTTTTCTAATGTATTTCTGGCACATGTTATAGAGGTAATAGCAACTGTACCCAAAGAAACAAAAAAAAAAAAAAAGAAAAAAAAGAAAAAGAGAGCATGGCATTAGTGGTTTATTTACTGAATTCTGTCGTATCACCAAATGGAAGACAATGATGGCTAAATTACCATTTTTTTTCACTTCTTAAAGTATGTGATGGCCTCAAGTTGCCTGCATCGACTATCTGAGTGGAACTGCCATTTTCTACACCACCTATGGAAAAATTCAGTACTCTTGAGAGGAAAATGCCTTAGTACTTCATTTTTATTACAAGGTTCCTTGGAACTTTCAAATACAAATATAGCGCAGTAACAGATGTTAAGTCAAAAGATCTGCTGTTCCATAAAGGGGCAGGAGGCTAAGTAACTTGCTTTTTGAGTATCCAATGCGTTGGTAACTATAACCACTTTTGAAGAAATATTCATCCTCCTCTGTAGAAGTTCTAGCAAAGATAGAAAATATAACACAGCTCTGCTGGTTCAGATGCATCCAAATGAGGTTGATTTTAAAAAGGTCAAGACTTTATAATTATTCCACAGAAATAGTAGTAAACCACAAAAAGTTTTTTTTTTTTAATATATTTTTTTTGGTTTTTTTTTTTCTGTTTTTAACTCCTAGCACTGAAGTGGCACAAAGGCTGCCCAGTAGACCAGCCACTTATTTTCTTAAAATATTGTGCTTATAAACTATCTGTACAACTATTTAAACTTGCAGTAAAGAAAGATATTTAAAATGCTAAACTTTATGTACTCATACTAGGGCTGTTGCAGACCTAATTAGACACTTGTTTGTGAGCAAAAAATAATCACAATAAAAAAATTAGAGATAGGCTGGACCATATCAAGGACCATAGCAAGGAAAGAAAGTTCAGGTACCTTGCAAAGTGTAAGAGAACCTGAAAGTATGGTAGGTAGGCAGTCTAGCCATCCACACACAATTTACCCACCTTGAACATCTTGAATATTCTGTTCAGAAAGACCTATGAAACTCACAGATATTCAGAGGTGTTAATTACAAGGGGAGTTCAAACATGCTGAGAGAGACTTGTTAACTTTCAAATTAAAAAGAAAACAAATTTTAAGAAGGCCTAGGAACCAAATGTGGGTGTTTCTCCCCTGCTGACTGCAGTCTCCTGGAAAGCTCCCTCTGGCCCCACCGCCCGGCCCTGGTTTCTGGCAGGGTCACATCCCTGTCCTGCCAAAGAAGTGGCTGGTGGCCCATGGGCAGCATCCAGCTCCCCTGACACCCAGCCTGCTGTCCTTGTCAAGAAGCCAATACCTGTTAACAGTGATAAAATGAGACACCAATCCTCCTGGCTCTTGGAACACACACATCCCGAGACACTCTATAGCTCTTTCCATCTTGGCATTACCTTTTTACCTTTTTTTTTAAACAAGCTGAAACATTTCCATTTCTAACAGGCTGAAATCCCTCTCACTTAAAATCCTGGCACTCTTCCCACTGACTTCAATGGGAACATTCATCTATCTTTTCCTTCTTTCTTGGCCTGATGTTCAAAATATCTAAGCACTTACCACTCACTGAATTAAACAGCATGTCTCAGGGTTCAGCATATTTGAGTGTCTGACTGTCAAGTCCAAAAGATGTGTCTGTACACGACCACAAATTTTTACTGGCTTGTGGAGTTCATATTGTGACTTAGCAGTAGTTTAGCTGGTTGAAAACTGAGGGTCTTAGGTTCAAATTAGCTTCATTTTGTTGTACCTCTAAGTGTGCATCCCTCTTAGGTTTTTATGCAACGTCTGCATTGTCTTACAGGTCAAGTCAATGGAGCTGTTCAATACTGAACTTGTTCTGCCACCTTGGAAGAGTGCTAAATATAACTGCAGAAATAAAGAAATACCAAGTAAAACAGAGCAAGGTTACCTTTGAACTAATTCCAGCAGAACAACCAGCTTCACTGCCAACAAAGCAGAGAGCTAAACCAGTAAAAAAGAGTAATATGAACTCCTGTACTCCTTGCAATATTGTGCCTCTGCTACTAATAAAACTGGGTTTGAATGGTAATGAAGCAACCTGACCTCTTCAAATGAACCAAGGGTTGGGGAGGGAAGCCTGCTTGGAGACTGAATGTCAAGAAGGGAATAAAAGATAATTCCATTCTTTTTTTCAATTAAAAAACCCTGAAATGTTTCCAGTTTTACATGGAAAGAAAACCAGTACGTAATGGTTCCAGTGAAGGGCAGTACCAAGAGATTGTATTTTTGAAGTTAACAATTGTCTCTCTCTCTCTCTCTCATTATCTCCCCACAACTTTGAAATAAAATGGCCCCACTTCTTTAACATCTTCAGATTTTTTTGTTTGGGCATGTGGCATACAGTCTGCATCACCTGAGTACCAGGAATTCAACTGTTTTCCCCCTCCCCACCCCCCAATTTTGCTGGCACTCGCAGACCGACAAGGCATTTGGGGTATGTCAGTACCAGCCCATCTCTAGTTATCAACAGAAGTTTGTGAGGCAAAATAGCTATTCTTATCTGTCCAGCAGCTGCTTCAAAGCTCTTTCTATGTTCATTCTGTGCCCAACTCTAGTCACTCCAAGGTCTATCAGATCTTCCTTCTGTAGATTTGGTAAATGTGTGCCATCTATTTCATTGTCCATAAATGTTTCTTTATGTTCACCTAAGTTTAGACTTTCCAACCAATCTGCCACATCTGGTTTAGTCCACAGGTGGACAGGCTTAGTTGTAAAAGGCTTATTTGAGATTGGCTGTTGTAATATTGAGGGAGAAGGAGACCTGCTGCGCCCTGTGGTCAAGCCAAATAAGTCCCCAGAAGGGGGTTGGCTGGGGAGGCTAAATACATCGGACAGAGTTGGAGAAGGAGATGAAGCTGAAGCAGAAGCAGTCAGAGGAGCAGGCATGATGTCTTTATTAATCTCTGTTGGTGAAACCACAGGGCTTGGAGCATGTCTTGCTCCTGAGGTCCTACTGTCATAGTCTGGGGACCTGCTCTGCAGTGTGATCGGCTGGCTGGTTCCAGGTCGGACAGTGAAAGTGATTGTTGTACTTCGTGTACCTGAGACAGTACTCATGACTTCCGTGCTCCTGAAAGTGTAAACAGACAGGGAAAGTTAGATCTCCTAAATTAGCCACCAGCTGCAAGGCTGTCCATATCAACACGTGGTAATGCTTGAATATTTTCACTTTTTTAAATGAGTCATATCAGGTTAAAAGTACAAAAATGGTAGCATTAAATTTTCCCAGAAAACAGCCATCAATGGTAAGCCATAGTTAAAAACAAACCCTTTGCTTAAGAAGAGGTCAGAAAACACCTGCCAGAGCATATTCTTTCTTTTTAAGGCCACTCCAAATTAACTCCTGGTTAAGTGAGAAACACCAAGTGGGTCAAGCACACGAGCACTTTGTGCTCCCCACGAAGCACGATCAGGAGCTGATGTCTTCTTCATCACATGGAGGGTTGGGATCCTTCAGTACAGCTTTGACCCACTGGTTTTACACATAACCTAGTCAATAACAGGAGTTGTGGAAAGTTTCAGAAGCATTGGATATTGGATCCTTGGCCATCGACTCAGCGAATGTTATGGTATGTTTGTATTTTAGGGTATGTTTGTAGCCCCATTTGTTCACAGAACATACCCTACAAGCTGCTCTTATTTGCCTTTCTATTCAGCTGTCCCTTTCGTGCTTTAAAAGTGAAACAGGCCCTCGAAGGTTCCTGAAAGGGCTTTGTGACCATTTTCTTCTACACAGAAATGATACTTTGGTGGTTTCACTGCAAAACATAAGGAGACAAAGTCCTTGCTCCTGTGCACTGACCATTTTCTTCTACACAGAAATGATACTTTGGTGGTTTCACTGCAAAACATAAGGAGACAAAATCCTTGTTCCTGTGCATGCCCAGAGGTGATGCACTTGTGATCAAGTCCCTGCCACCCATCTTTTGCCCAGAGAAAATTATCTGCAGATTATGAACTAAGCAGGCCTGAACTTTGCTGAGAGGCTCACTCTGGTGCCCAGGCTGACAGGGTGGGTGAAGGAGCAGGCAGGTCTGCTGGTGCCTAGTGGCTATAGAAGCAAATTCAGAAGGTTTGGGTCTGTTCATGTCATAAAATGCTTAACCCCACAGCCCTTATTCTCATGAGAAGAGGCTGCCAGTCAGCGTGAGCACTTCAGGATGTTTCACAGAACTATTGAGTACCTTGAGCTCCGGAGTTTTTCACTTCAAAAATATCCTGCCAACTGGGAAAACCTTCAGCCAACTAATTTAAAGCCCTTCCAGACTAAAGGAAGGATTTATTTATCCTTGAAGCAATGCCATGGACTCCAGAGGACGATCTGGCAGATGCTGTAGTGAGACTTCCACCCCAGACCCTGACTGAAGCCCTCTGTTTCTGAGGGCCAGATTGCCCCCAGGCCTGACCTGTTCTGCCTGGGCAGAACTGAAGATGACTTGGATGCATGTCAGACAAATGCTTCCATTAATCATGCAGATTCACTGCTGTGCAGAAAAGATTGTATGGAGCTGAAGGAGAGCAGAGTTCTGGCCCCTCGTAGTTAAAATGCTGGTTTGGAAGAAACTGGTCTTTCCTAACTCACTGCTTAAAGATTTTGTGCTGATTGCCACCTAATGAAGTGTCAAAAACGATCCACACAGCAGGGTCAAACCCCACCTCTGTTCTCTGAGGTGTGTCCCTCACTGCTAGATCTGCTGTATAATGACATCCTCTCGTGCTCCTCTGCCCTGGGCAATCAGGATGGCTTTGCCCTTCCACTGGAGCACTGGGACTGCTGGGAAGGAGGATGTGGCCTGTAGGGTTATGCTGCCTCACTGGATCTGCTCCCCAGTGCCACGTAATTGGGAAGGCCCATGGAAGGGGAGTGACTTGGCTTTGGTCACCCACATCCTGACTAGAAAAGTGGATAAGATTTTAAATAAAAAGGCAGTGGTGCCAGCACGTCTTCACCACCTACCCTAACTCCCTCCCCTGGGAAGTACTCATCCATCACCAAAATGAAGAACCAGAGCAGCTAACCTGAGGCAATAATAACCACCAGGTTATTAATCTGTCTCTCTCACTGCAGGTCTGGTAGCCCTGTTCTGGAGACCTCCTCCAGTGATTTCTTGATTGGCTGCTGGCTCTGGTGAGCCCTGACAGCTTCACCTCTGGGGCTTTGGCACATAATAACCCAACCCAGACATCAGGTAACCTGCAGCCCTGCCACACCGACACGCTGAGCACGCTCGTGTCGTGGTGAGTCTCATTCAAATAGAGCTCCAACACTGTGTTATTACAAAAGCACTAAGAATAACTTTTTGAAGAACATTCATGTTATTCACAGGAGCAATCCCACTGATTTCCCACTGGTTGTTCCATGTATTTCAATGGGAACAGGGGGATCTCTTTGAAAGATTGGTACTTCACTTAAAACCCAGTAGGAACAATACTGCTAGCACTTAGGGCTTTGTAGTTTAACAAAGAAAGGAAATGCTTGGCAAGGTTTTCAGTGTTTCCTGTGATTTTTTGGAGCTTAATGGCTGTCATTGTCTTCTAGGGCTGGAGCTAAACCCTCTTACAAATAAAAAGTATATGGCAAGAAACTATAAATTCTACTAACCAAGGGGAGCAAGTTATTTCTACCTGCTTTACCTTAGCATTAGGAGTCTCACATTCATTAATAAGGCATGATACAATTTTGAATCAACAAAAAGCCTGCTTTGAAAAAGGTTGGGGTAGTGCTCTCCTATTGATGGCAAGAAGAGCAGAATCAGCTTTGTATAAATGTGGAGATTAATCCCTGAATTTCACCTGCAATCACCCTTCTGCTTAACTTTCCTGCCTGGCAAATACTAGAAATTATGATTTTGTATTCATGCCCATTGTGGCAATATCACATAGATGATGAGAATCTATCTTCTTTTATCCTAGATGCTGAAAGAGAAGTTTTATTACTTGACTGACAGCTCCAGGCTCAGTGTACACCTTCTGCTTTGTAACTCATTTTCGCTTCTTCTCTATATTGTTCAGCTCATAGACTCCCTGACAATCCTTTTTTTCTGGAAATTACTGCCACTGTTCCTTTAAATAAAGCATATTTAGCCACTAAAACAAAGCCCACAAAAGTAAGCTGTGTGCTCTTATTTGAAGTATTCCTTAGCTAGTGTTCC